AAAACAAACTTGCTGTACTAGTTGATTTCTCAACGATTCACAAATGACATGTGTTATTCGTTCTGAATTAGCGCCTGTATAGGCACGTGGTCCTATCTCAATCTCGCCGCCATGTAGTCTCACGATTGCACTAATCTCTTGCAAATCCAAACGATCCACCAATACACGTTCATGTTCGACAACAATAAAGAAACACCCAATAAGACACATGTCAGGCGATACTAAATTGTTTCGTTCTTTTATTTATTCACTCGTTTATACACAAATGAAGGATAGATAAACAACACTTCTATCATATGATGAAACAAAAAGTATGAATTGTCATTTCGTTGGTAGAGTGATGGGACGATGCTTCGATAAACTGAACTTACATTCAAGAAAAATGAGCAAAATAAGTTGAATTAAAAGAAGAAAGAACCATTATTGGCGATATTCGGCTCATGTCCATAGAACGGTGCCGATTGCGGCACCATACGTTGCATATGTTGCTGAGGTGCTATTGACGTGCCATTCGTTTGCAATTCTGAAACAGACTAACCCTGTGAGCCATTTCAATCAGAACACCATTTAGACAGTAAAGGATATCACGTTCCTCGGTGTGGCATTCACCAGCACACTTTATGAGTGATTACACCAAATAACAACACGTTCGTAAAAAGGAAAGTTAGATGGCTGATACCTCTTCGAAAATGCTTATCAAAACATCGCACTAGAAACTGGTATTCATTGAAATACCATTGAAAACATCTTCAGGTTCATTCGAATCTCTTTCATTGAACAGATCCTAGATTTTGCCTCAGACTGCGCAATAAGGGCACAAAATTTAATGAGGGATATTGTTCAACAAGTACTTCATGGGAACCATATTTTCTTATACATACGATCAAATACATTTAAAGAACTGTTTACACTCGTTCTGAATAATGAATCAATCGGAATAGTTTGACTAGAAAGTACTCACTACTTGGAATATTCCGTTGCATAGGCGGTGGTGGGGCATTCGCGGGCACAGGTGCGACCATAGTTGGCGGTGCGGCCTGTGGAACACCTGCTGGAACAATTGGAGCCTGAGTTGGAGACATCAACTGTGGGGAGCGCATATCATGTGCGGATGAAGGTGGAGGGCCTGCTGTGGGATAACAAGGACTTATGTTTGAGGTATTCGGTACTGGAGTCGGATAACGAGGTGCTGAAAAGGAAACAAACATTATCGTGACATTGATAATCAAACATAAATCAATCCGAACTGTCACTTTTTAGTTCGATCGTCCGGTCAGCCATTCAAAACCGAATTTCAGTTTCGAATGAATCATTTCATTACGAAATTTGTTGCAGTTCATTCACTGGTACGATTATNAAATACATCATTACGATTTGGTGCGTGAAGCAGCGTTTCTTAATGAATTAATTATAATGTTGAATAAAGCTCGATTTGAGGAGAGACAGTGGATATTAGCAGCATTCGAGTGACAACAACATTAACATCTTTGAAAAGGATTAATCGTGTTCAGTTGTTTGGCATGACACACGTCTCATGCGATTGATAGATAATGCATATGCTCAATCTCATTCGCTATCTTACAAAGCGATTAACTCAAGCAGATGATGTCTGTGATGACAAGTATTCCTCTCCCTAACAACTAACTAACAATCACTATTTAGAAAGAGCTGTCTGGAGAGTAATCTCAATATCCACAATAACAACCAAATTCACTTGAAATCGAAAGTGAACTCGTTTGAGAGTTTAGTGCTCAGGTTCTACATGAAGTGTTGGAAAAAAGCGAGAAGTGGTTCGGAAAATATCCGGCAGAGAAACTCACCAACAGGAGAATACTGCTGCGGTTGCACTGGTGGTGGAGGTTGTGGCGCTACACTTACGGCCGGATACACTGCAAAAGAAATGTATTTAGATGCACGTTTAAATCTTTTTACTATTGGAATGAATGCCTCTTACATCCATTCAAGAGCTTGTTTTGGTGTGTTCCATGCTGTACCCAAGCTGTGCACACCTTCAAATTCCTGATCACAACTTNAAATCTAGTGTTTGAATAAAACATGTGTTACTCATAAGATAACTACAAAAATTGGTGATTCTTCAAACTCAGTAGTGTTTAAGCTAAAAAACTAACGATGGTACATGAGGATGGTCTTGTGAAATGTGATAAAACAAACTTTACGAAACTACAACGAGTAATGTCGATGAAAAGGACGCTAGCTATTCGAAGGAGCACAACCTCAATTATTTATTCATCCTTTCCATCTTCTTTTAGGGAATGAAGGAACGATCAAAAGAAGAATAGGAAGTGAAATACTGATCAACATATGATTTAAAAGGTGGGGACGGCTTCAACAAGAACATGGTTTAATCCAGAAGGAGTTTCTTTTGTGAACAGCAGAACCTGGCTTATAACAAGAATAACTGACAGTGATAGCGCAAAAACAACTGAAAAACTACATGCATTCATGTAATACTAGATGTAAGCATCATATCATGCACTACGCATATTAGTTGAACGAACTTTCTCAAAGTCTTGAACGTGACAGTGAAAACACAAGAAGAGTTTGCGATAAAAACCAAAACAATAAATTATTGCTGCAATTCTATGGAATTGCGAGGAGAGACTTGCTATTGCTACTGTTGGTAGTTGCCTTTGTCTGTGTCTTAAATGGACGAATACTGAGAATGAATGAAGGAGACGTGGTAAATCAAATCATCTATAAGATGACGAAATGAATTAATTGGTTTCTTGCTAGGAATGGACTGGATGCAGGACTGACTGAGGAATAAAGATAAATTAAGAAGATAAACAATATAAATGTGCAAAGAAGATATTATAGAATGGAATGAAACCAATGACAACAACAACGACACAATTATCTGCTATCGACGTATAATATATCTACCGGACGAGCGTAGCATCACGCAAACACTGCTTTCAGATATCGAGGAAGCATGCAAATAATATAGCATTTAGCATATACAAATGAAGAAGCAATCCAATTATTTACCACTTCAAGAAGCATAAATTTAGCAGATGCGCTCGAAATGGTGAATGCATTAAATGAGTTTGCTCTGATTATTCTCTAACATCGTCTGATCGAGACACCTAATAGGACGAGCATGAAAGAAGATAAAAGAAACATTCATGCCATTCCATATATTCATCAATCTTATTTTTACCATCAGCCTCTTCACCACCACAATGATGAGGTCATTATCGTATAATGGTATTTGTTTAGTGTTTTCGTTGAATTCATTCATTTTTTCTGCTACTGCTTATTACTGCACGTCCGTCCTTTTCGTTCGTTGCGCTTAACAGCACTACTTGAATACCTCTTCGAGATGTGGGTCTGTTAAAACGACTGAACTGACAAAACAATCAGTCACATAATGTTTGCGTGATAGACAGACACTAAAAAGGCAGCACACGGCTA